CTCCAACCTGACTCTGCCCCATTAAGCACCAGATATCAGATATCAGTCATGAATATGATATTATTATATCAGTCATGAATATGATATTATTTTTATAAACTCATAGATTTTTAAAGCAGTTCCAATATAACACTTGAAGCCTGTAGTCTGTTTCTGCATGGGATTTATTTATTTATTATATATTAATATACATTTTAATGCATGTTTTTATAAATATGATGTCAGGGTTTTTGTCACCTGGGACCTGTTGTAATGATGGACAATTGTATGTGAGATAAGTGGCAGTTGTGATTTTTGTTTAAGATGACTCACACTCATTTTTCAGTAATGGATATGTAGTCATCTACATTACTAAATAAAAATGGGTCTAGACCTTTATAATGCTATAACTGCCTTTGTCTACCTTTTAACTATAAACTTCAATGGCTCCAGTTTAAACTTTCTCCAAGACAAAACTAGATATGTCCAAGAAAAAAAAAAAAAAAAAGTTAGTTCATCTAGAATAATTCCCTCAGCAAAGTCTGAAAGCAAAGTCAGATATCATCAGAATTTTAGAATCATAGATCCTTCTGCCCTGAAAAATTCCTGCAGCCTTTGCATTCACAAGCCAAATTATGTGCCATATACCTGTTTCGTGCTGTAAAGATGTCATAGTGGTAACCTGAATCACAGCCCACATGTTATTTCACACATTTTAAGCAAAAATGTCTGTGAAACAGTAATGTCTTGAAGTAAGGGGAAACAGATGACATACAGAGGCCACATCTGGACTGCTGATTGAACAGTGCCAACACATAGGTCATGGATACTAGTACTTGATCACTAAGACACTTACGGTCTTAGAATTGTCCCCAGAATCATTTTCACCCATGCCAACTAGCACTCCATCAAATAATGCACAGATATGTTAAAAGTTAGTATGTGCTGGAGTTCATTCTTAACAGCCACTTTGGATGCAGCCATCCTGTTATGGAGACTTGACTTTAACAGCATAGATGGAGACAGAATACATCAGCTGGCTTCAAGACACCCTGTTTACAAGCATGTAAACATTACAAGCTCCGAGTCACAGAAGAGACAGGCAGAGACTGGGAGAATTAAGAGCCACCAGATGTAGGAGAAGATCATGTTCAAGACCGTCTGAGGAACCTGAACATGCACAGATCCATGGGACCTGATGAGGTGCTTCCACAGGTCCTGAGAGAACGATGGCCAAACCACTCTCCATCATAATTTAGAAATACTGGCAGTCTGCTGAAGTTCCCACAGTCTGGAAAGGGGAAACATAAACCTAGTTTTTAAAAAGGGGAAGAAGGGAGAACCAGGGAACTCAGTGAGTCTCACCTCTGTGCCTGGAAAGATCATGGAGCAGGTTCTCCTGGTAACTATGCTAAGGCACATGGGAAGTAAGGAGGTGATTGGTGACAGCCAACATGGCTTCACCAAGGGCAAATCATGCCTGACCAATTTGGTGGCCTTCTATGGTGGACTTACAACATTGGTGGATGAGGGAAGAGCAACTGATGAAATCTACCTGGACTTGTGCAAGGCATTTGAAAATGTCCCACACAACATCCTTGTCTCTAAGTTGGAGAGGCAAGGACTAGATGGGTGGATCACCCGGTGGATAAGGAATTGGCTGGATGGACACACTCAAAGAGTTGTGGTCAACGGTTCAATGTACAAGTGGAAGCCAGTGACGAGTAATGTCCCTTGGGTCAGTATTGGGACAGCACTGTTTAATATCTTCATCAGTGATATGGACAGTGAGATTGAGTGCACCATCAGCAAGTTTGCTGATGACACTGAGCTGTATGGTGTAGTTGACACGCTGGATGGACAGGATACCAACCAGAGGGACCTTGAGAGGTTTGAGAGGTGCGCCTGTGCAAAAGTTCAACAAAACAACAAAGGCGAGTGCAAGTTCCTGCACCTGGGTGAGGGCAACCCCAAGCACAAATACAGGCAATGTGCGCTTGCAGCCCAGAAGGCCAACTGTATCCTTGGTTGCATCAAGAGAAGCATGGCCAGCAGGTCGAGGGAGGTTGTTCTGCCCTTCAGCTCTGCTCTTGTGAGGCCCTACCTGGAGTACTGCATCCAGTTCTGGGGCCCCCAACATAAGAAGGACATTGACCTACTGGAATGAGTCCAGAGGAGGACCACCAGGATGATCAACGAACTGGAGCACCTCTCCTATGAGGACAAGCTGAGAGAGTTGGGGCTGTTCAATCTGGAGAAGAGAAGCCTTCGGGGAGGTCTTATAGTGACCTTCTAATACCTGAAGGGGGCCTACAGGAAGGCTGGGGAGGGATTTTTAACAAGGATATGTAGTGATAGAACAAGGGGTACTGGCTTTAAACTGGAGGAGAGTAAGATTTAGTTTAGATATTAGGAATAAAGTATTCACTATGAGGGTGATGAGTCACTGGAAGATGTTGCCCAAGGAAGTTGTGGATGTCCCCTCCCTGGAAGTGTTCAAGGCCAGGTTGGATGAGGCTTTGAGCAACATGATCTAGTGGAAGGTGTCCCTGCTTATGGCAGGGGGATTGGGACTAGATGATCTTTAAGGTCCTTTCCAACCTATACTATTCTATGATTTTATGATTTAGACAAGGAAATCTAGGTCCAAATGATGTAGGGCAGAGTGACAAAGATAATTTATTCTAGAAGAATGTAGTACCAACCAAAGTGGACACAACCAACACCCACAAGTTAGCCTTGAATTCAGAAACTGTGTCTTGGTCTCCTTTTATGAGGAAGCATGATTGTATCCGAAGTATCTGTCTCAAACTTGCTAGTCTGAAAATATTATGACACATATATAATCATACTTTCAGAATTCAGAAAATTTTCATTTGAGTTTGAGTTTTATCAATGTTTTGCTGTTATTATTCCTTTATTCAAGATTTTGTGCTTCATCTGAGAGGTATGCCTATGGTGAAAAACCTATGTAAGAAGATACAGACTTCAATCTATGAAATTATTTATACATATTTTGAAAAAAACCCCAAACCATAGTTTAAATAGAAATTCGGTCTGGACATATAACTTAAAAATGAAAAACAAAAGATAATGTTGCTCTAAACCACAATTTAGACACAGAGGGATTCAGGAGACATACAATTATATGTCAAAATTAATAATAAATTTTTGATACTGAGACCGTACTTCCTTTATCATCTTGGATTGCATTTCCTGTAGCAGTCACTTTATCTGATAAGGCAGGTGACTGGGTCATCAGACCTATGAGGACATATTTGAGAGGTCTGTTTTGCAGCACCTTCTTTTGCTTTTAAAACTGGAACCAATACTTGCATGGGAATTTAAAGGATAAAGAAAATGATGAGGTGTTCTTTCCATGCTCGACAGGCACAGAGGACCAGGCACCATTTAGTCTTTTCTGTGGATATATGTATCTCAAATATATTTCTTGAGAAAATTTGATATGGTTCTCGTCAGTCTTGCTGTTATCTAATTTTTGTTACTGGCAGAGAAGTTGAACAATAAAATGCAATCTGTAGAAAGTGTTAATTATGTCAAAAAGAAAATAGATCTGTTGAACTGATGAAATGACAGGGGTGCTTCCTGTGTTCACAATTGTCTTTTATCTTTTATTTACATCACATTCTATGTTTAGGTCTATATAGGTCTGACATAAGAAGCAGGCTAAAAAGACATGCTATTTTCATCTTTGACTTTGGGTTCTTGCCCTTGCACTGGAAGAAAGGTGATTAATTATAACAGAAACAATGCAGTTAGTAGTACTGTTTGTAAGAGAGTATCTTCACTACCACTACATTTGCACATAACATCTCTGCCAATAATTCTGCTCTGTTGTGTTTTGCAGGAAATAATCCTGGCTATTGTGATGATCCCGGAGTACCAGCTCATGGGTCTAGACTAGGGGATGAGTTCAAAATAAAAAGTCTGCTACGTTTCTCATGTGAAATGGGTTATCAGCTAAGAGGATCTGCAGAACGAACATGCCTACTTAATGGTTCCTGGTCAGGTATACAACCTGTCTGTGAAGGTGGGTACTGATACCATTGGCATTTATGACACCATTGAATGACATTTACTAAAGACATTTATTTTTTTAATTAAAAAGAAATTCTATGCCAGAAATATGCTTTAATATTGCTCTGCAGAAATTTGATATAAAAGAGTTTGAAAGCAGTTCATGTTTTGCTGAAAAACCTAAATCCAAACTGATAAATTTTTGGAGTATATATTTATAAGAAGATTGTGAGAAAATCCATTTGAACAAATATTAAGCCTGAAAATAGAGAATAGTTACCTGAGTTAAATGTAAGATTAAACAAATGAATTAAACAAATTGAAGATATGAAAATGGAGTAATAAATAAATCTGTCATCCATCTTCTAACAATAAAATATTTTAATCTTCTCTTTCTACATAATATCTATGCATCAAGGACTGAACATATTATAAAATAATATTGTATTCTTAACTAAGTATAAATTAATGTATATTTCTCCACATAAGTTAGGCTATTTTTTGAGATACACTATTTTTATGCTAGTTTTTCACAAAAAATGCAACTGAGAATATTTGTGGAAATCACATTTTAGGTTAAGTTAAGAAGTAAAATAAAGAATTTTTACAGTTTTTATGCACTGTCATAATTGGAAAGCAGTAATGGAAGACTTTAGATCCAGTTTTAAAATGACTTGTTTTCCATGAGTGGTCGAAAAGTTATTTTATCTAATTCATTGGAGTTGATTGATTCTGTAGTATCTGTTGTCCATTATACAAAATGATAAAATGGAACATAGGACAAAATATTTTTAACAAATTCATAGAATAATATAATCATAGAATGGCTTGGGTTGCAAGGGACCTTTGAAGGTCATTTAGGCTAACACCACTGCAGTAAGCAGGAACGTCTTCAACTAGATCAGGTTGCTCAGAGTCCCATCCAATTTGACCTTGAATGTTTCCAGGGATGGGGCATCTACCACCTCCCTGGGCAACCTGTTCCAGTGTTTCACCACCTTCACTGTAAAAGATTTCTTCCTTACATCTAGTCTAAATCTACCCTCTTTATTTTAAAACCATTACCCATTGTCCTATCACTAAAAGGTTTGTCCCCATCTTTCTTATAGGCCCTCTTTCAGTACTGAAAGGCCGCAATAAGATTTCCCTGGAGCCTTCTCTTCTGCAGGCTGAACAACCTCAACTCTCTCAGCTTTTCTTCATAGGAGAGGTGTTCCATCCCTCTGATCATTTTTGTGGCCCTCCTCTGGACCTGCTCCAACAGGTCCATGTCTTTCCTGTGCTTAGGGCTCCAGAGTTGGGGGTGCACTCGTTCCCACTATTCCATTGATTAAGATACTAAAGAGTACAGAGAGAATGATGTTGTGGGGTCCATATCAAAGGTCTTACAGAATTCTGGATACAAGACATCCATAGCTATTCATTATAATTTTTTTATCTCAGGATTTTATCACAGTATCCTCATCCAAGAATTGTTCTTTTGCAATATTCTTCAGCACAGACTAATCTGTCAGTGTACATATCACCATAACGTTGTTTCTTCTTCCTTTGCATGAAGACATTAAGTATTGTAGGATAGCAGCACTCAGTGACAATTAGTGGCTCTTTTTTCTTTCTTTATCTTTTCACTTCAACCTTCTGTTTCCATAAAAAAGAAAAAAAAAAAAACCAAAAAACCAGAAACAAGGAAAAAAAGAAAAAAAAAAAAAACAAACAGAAACAAGGAAAAAAGCCCATATCTTTCAATTTTTCTCTTCTCCCTCAATTGTTTCCTGTTTAATATAAATAAGGATGAGATTAGGAGAATACCTTTTCACTCCTACGAGTTCATATTCCAACCTACTGAATTTTTCTCTTCAGTATTTGAAACTGTTATACATAAAAAGGGAGCAAGACTTAATTAAAACAAAGGCATTTAGGTATTATTCCAAACATCAGTAATACTCAGAGTAATTTTTAATAATCTATAACTATTAGATTATAATTATTAGATTCTCATTATTATGCTGGAGGCCATCCAGCTGGGGATCCTGGTGGACAACAAGTTGAACATAATCAGCAAAGTGCCCTTGCTGCAAAGAAGATTAATGGTATCCCAATCTGCCTTAGGACAAAAGTGATCTTTCCCCTCTGCTCAACACTGGTGAGGCAGCATCTAGAGTCCTGGGTCCAGTTCTTGGCTCCTCTGTACTAGGGAGACATGGACTTACTGGATAGAGTCCAGCACAGGGCTATTAAGATGATGAAGGGACTAAAGTATCTCTCCTCCGAGGAAAAGCTTAAAGAGCTGGGACTGTCCAGCCTAGGGAAGAAAACATTCAGAGAAGATCTTGTCAACATATATAAATATCTGAAGGCAGGGTGCACAGAAGATGGAGATGGGATATTTTCTGTGGTTCTGAGTGACAGTACAAGAGGCAATGAAACACAGGAGGCCTGTATGAACATCAGGAAATGCTTTTTTGTAGTGAGGCTGAGTGAACACTGGCACAGGTTGTCCAGAGAAGTGGTGCAGTCTCCATCCTTGGAGATATTAAAAAGCCATCTGGATATGGTCCTGGGCAACTGGCTCTTGGTGGCCTTGCTTGAGCAGATTACCTCCAGAGATCCCTTCCAATCTCAACCATTCTGTGATTCTTTGATGCTGTGATTCACATAAGTAGGAAGATGTGATAAACTGAATTAAACAAATATAAGTACAAATAAAGTATTATAAGTAATGTAAGTCAAATAGTCAAATAGTCAAATACTGTCACATTATAATTTTGTCAAATTTTAGGCATCTGTAGACTTGTTTTTGCAAAAATTCCGTAATTAGAATTAATGGATACAGCTTTAATGAACACATCATAGCTTTCTTAACGCAGCTCAGTGTTGTACCTTGACCAGTATCTGCACATGGTCTTTGATTTGTTTTATTAGTGTTATCATAACATCATAGAATGGTTTGGATTGAAGGGACCTTTAAAGATATCCAAGATAAAGTCCAACTGCCCTGCTATGGGCAGGGACATCTTCCAGTAGATCAGGTTGCTCGGAGCCTCACCCAGCCTGACCTCGAACACTTCTGTGTGGGGCATCAACAACCTCTCTGGGCAGCCTGTTCCACCGTCTCACCACCTCAATGCTAAATATTTTTTTTTCCTTATGTTCAATCTAAATCTTCCTTCTTTCAGTTTCAAATCATTATCCCTTGTTCTGTCACTACAGGCTTTGATAAAAAGTCTCCTTCCCTCTTTCTTATAGGCCCCTGTGGCGGAAAGAGGCTTAACCACAAGGTTCAAGTAAACGACTTGAATTTCACTTGCAGAGTTAATTGCAAGGTTCAAGCAAAAAATTTATTTGAACTTCACTTACAGACTTAACGCACCACTATTGCAGTTCTTGCAGATATAATGGAGGAATGCACTACTGAATTTTAAAAGCAAGAGTAGTAAACTATTGCAACCAAAACTGATTCACTGAGTACACTGTTGCAACCACAACAGATTCACGGACAACCACAAGTACACTAAGCATTACGTATGTTTACAAACTTACAGAATAAACAATATTCACTTACCCCTCCAGGTAAGGGTACTCAAGCCCCGGAAAGCTACCTTGACCACTGTCCTGGTCAAGAGCGGAAGAGTCTCCTTCACAAACCATCTATATAGTTGGAGATGTGATTCCCCCTCTCATTTCCAACCTGAATCTTAGGGGTTTTTATCCCTTGACTTACTTAATGGTGTGTATGACTATGCCTGAGTGGATTATACCATTTTCTTTGGCAGTGTGGTGGAGTTTCCCCTTATCTATCTTTCTTTTCCTGGTGTGTGATTGAGTACACAAGTTTACTGTTTGAAACTGAAGCTGAAACCCTGCAGCTTTTCTTTATCTTGCTTCCTCAGGCAACTGAACAGTGATTGGATGGAGACTGATGGCATACTATTTGTTAATGGATTTCAAGGCTCAACTCAGATTTCAATTCTTTGGTGCAGCCACCACCCTGTTTAGTTTAGGACTTATCAGACAAACCAGGGCTGAACTATCTACACAGCTCCCCATGAGTCCTCTCTGCAGAGAGACAGGGCCCCAAGGCAATCCAAGGCTGTGTCACTTTTGTAACCCTCCATGAATCACCTGTGTGCACTAGACACCGTGAACCTTGTTTGTGAACTATGAGCTGGATGATCCATACAGCCCCTTTTCAGTATTGAAAGGACACAATAAGGTCTCCCTTAAGCCTTCTTTTCTTCAGGCTGAACAACCCCAATTCTCTCAGCCTTTATTCAGTGTTCCATTCCTCTGATTATTTTTGTGGCCCTCCTCTCGACCTACTCTAACAGGTCCATGCCTTTCTTATGCTGGGTGCTCCAGAGTCAGATACTGTACTCCAAGTGGGTTCTCATGAGAGTGGAGTAGAAAGTCAGAATCACCTCCCTCTACCTGCTGGCCACACGTCTTTTTATGCAGCTCAGTGTGTGACTATGACTGGAATTCCTCCAGTTCTCTAAGGAGGAAGGAGAAGCAGAGACGAATTGCTGTGTAGTGACCATAACTCCTCATCCTCTGTCCCTTTTGCACCATTTGTGGGGCAGACAGAGGAGCCTGAAGTGAAGGAATGAAGTTAACCCTAGGAAAGAGGGGAGGAAAGGTGTTGTTTTAATATTTGTCTTTTTGTCCCTATCCAAATTCACTTTAATTGAAAATGGATTAAAATAATTGTCCCCAGGTTGAGTCTGTTTTGCCCACAATGGTAATTGGTAAGAAATTCTCGTCTATCTCAACCCCTGAGCTTTGTCATACTGAGAAGGGAGCAGAGAGTGAGCCACTGGATGAGCATTTGATTGTTAGCCAAAGCTAATCCACCACAATATTCTAAGCCATTAGGTTTAATCATACTTTTATTTGATCGTATCATTGTATTAGACAAAATAATTTCACTTCTCAAGAGACCACGCTTATTTGTGCTGTAGGAAGAGTAAAAGGAGTTCCTAGCTCTTGGAAACTGTGCAAAAGACAGTTGAAGTATAGCCTCCCAGTGTTACAAACCACTTCATGTTCCATGTAAGACTGAAGGAAAGAGTTTGATTTAGATGCACATTTCTTCCTAACTCCTGATTAATCCTGTTAATCTCTTAACCTCATGGTAGTTTTATTTTGTTCCTATGAAGAGGAATAGTCTGTCCAACAGTAGAATGTTATCATACTTTTGCCAGTGTCCTGTCTGCTGGGATGGTCAAATAAAGATGCATTAGAGGAATGTTGTTAGAAAAAATAAAAACAAACAAGTTCTTCTTATGATTGACTGGTCCATTGGAAACAAACAAACAAACAAACAAACAACCCAAACCACTGAACCCTCCCAAAAAACCAACATGTAGGCAAACTAAACCACTGTCAAATCTTGGATGTATGAAGCTGAAACATCATTACCTTAATGTATAGCTACAGATGGTAAAAAGATACAGAGGCTAATACAGAATTTCTCTCCTTTTCTTGATTCAAAAAAGAAATGGACAGGAAGTTAATAATTTACTACTTATGAATATTTTCATCTGAAAGAGGACATACCAGAAGACAGGAAGAGAATAAAAAAATATGCCCAAAGGCAAAACAGAGGCACAGGTCTGTCAGAAAGTCCTGAATGAGCTATCTTCTCTACAGGGACTGTTATTAGGCGGAGCGGAACAAACAGTGTGAACTATCTGAATCAGCAATTGAAAAAAAAAAAACAAAAAACCCACCAAAAACCAAAATGCAAATACAGTGATCATATTACCAAAGAGAAATAAGTTATTAACTCAAGAATATGCCTATTAAACATTTTCTTAGTAAAATTTGCTGTTATTTTTTTTAATATTTTCTTCACAGCTGTATCTTGTGGGAACCCTGGCACCCCAGCCAATGGTATGATATTATACACTGATGGAATATTATTCTCCAGCTCAGTCATTTATGCCTGCTGGGAAGGTTACAAAACTTCAGGGCTAACTACTAGACATTGTACTGCTAATGGGACATGGACTGGCACTGCTCCAGACTGCACAGGTCAGAAACGAACTTTCTTCCTCTAAAACTTTAAAGTAGTAAGTCATTCAGCCTTCCTACTGAAAATGGTTATTTTGTTAGATAAATAACACATTTTTTCCCCATTCATCTGTCTTGTAATATACAAATATTTTATGTATCTAAAGGTACATGCCCTTTTAATACACGCTAGATGTTTCCAGAACTCTCTTTTTAAGATGGATAAATAGGTAATTTTTTTCTGTATTTGTTTACCTCATGAATGTCAACTATATACAGAGGATGAAGTTCTGGTAGTTTAAATCAGATTTTACTTAATTGGATACATTACTGTGGCATTTTTTACTGTGAGACAAATGAGTCAGGTCTGACTGATAAACATTCTGCTAAGGACCAAGAATTGGTAAGCAGTGAGATTGGGCTACTCCATCAGGGAAAGGAAGTATGGAGCAGAGGGGTGCTACAAGGCCAGCAGGGCCAGTGACCTCACTGACAAGGCCAGAACCATGGAATATCAGTACAGTGATATATTTAAAATTAAAAAAAAAAAAAAAAAAAAAAGAAAGAAAAAAGGAATTTCATAACTCTGCTGTAATTGCATTGTACCATCAACATTAGGCATAATGTGACAAAGTATGAAGGTAGGAAACATCATGTCAAAGCTACCACTAACATGACAGTCTGCAGTAGCAGTAGAGTGTAACATTTTAAGCTAGTTTATCTAAGGAACACAGTATTTGGCCCACACTATTGCAATGCTTCAAAAATACAAATTTTTAGCTAAAAATTAAATATTATACTTTTGATTTTGTGTGAAATATATTGATCAAAAATTTCCTTATTTTGTGCACTAAAAAAAAAGGGCATTAGCTATATATAGTTAAATGTTTCATTACATGTTTATTGAAAAAAAAACCATCCCTCTTCTTTTCCTCACTAGTGATCAGCTGTGGAGATCCAGGTGCATTAGCAAATGGCATTCAGTTTGGAAATGATTTCACCTTTAATAAGACAGTCACTTATCAGTGCAATCCAGGTTACTTGATGGAGCCTGCCAGTTCATCTACTATGCGTTGTATAAAAGACAGCACTTGGAACCAGAGTAAACCAATTTGCAAAGGTGTGCTTTTGAACTTAAATAATTTACAAATACTGTTTTAATACTATATATGACATTTACTAATCAGTGTTTTTATTTATAAAAAAATGTCAAAACATTTTCTGGGACAATTAACATAAATGCAACTGAAACATTTAGATAAGTATTTGTGTAAAATTTGTATATACTGTGCACATATGCTGTGGTATAATGTCAGTCAGAATAGCAACATTAATGACTACAGCAGAACCAAATCATTCTGCAATGGAGATTATCAGAGTGCTCTGCTGAAAATGTTGGGAATGAAGTCCTCATTTCCCTTTATGGGCTCTTTTATCTTGGATTAGATGGCCAAAATCCTGTAAAAGGATCCTGCAAACCAAAGTTTCTATAAAAGATTGTTGTAGTAGTGTAGTTATCATAAATAGCCAAAAAGATGCTTCAAAAATAGCTAATTACAAGTGCTAACATAAAGGTCATAGTAGGGATGAGGCTGAAAGGCAATAACGCAGCCTGGTGGAAATTGTTAGCACTATTAGAGCAACTCAGGGAGTAAATTAAACAGCCTAGGGCAACTTCTGCTTATAAAAGGCCTACATTGCCAACTCATCTAGCACCACTTTAAAGAGATGTCTAAGTCTAGTCTACTAATTAAATTTTGGCATATGTATTTGACTGAGCACATTTTCTGTTGTAAAAATCACTGACTCAGTGATTTTATGCTTGTGCTCTTTGTTGAAAGAACTGATGTGTAAATGTAAACTTGGTCATTCCAGATTTCATTGTTTTGGGCACTCTTTCAGAATCTGGAAAACATCCAAATATTTTTAAAGAGCCTTAGTGACTAATTACCAATAAAGTCAATGTCCATTGTGTCCTGAAAGCCTTAGAAATGAGCAGGTGAATGAACAACATCCTATTAAGGGCTCTAAATAGTACTGCAAAATTAGTTTAAAATAAAATGCAAAAATTTAAAATCATGTAATCACAGAAACATGTTTATTGAAATAAATAATGTTTATTGAAAAATTTTACCTAGCTCAGTAGACTGTTGCCAGTAATGATCAGTAATGAATATGTAGGGAACATACTCAGAACTAGGTAAGCTATATACTCTTCTGACTTCCAGCAACCTAAAGTTCATGGATTTCCTAAGCCTGAAGGGGTTATTTTTGTATTTAAATTGGTTTTCTGTCTACTACAGGCTGCTTAGTCAACACAGGAATGCTTTGTTGGAACTGAACAGCATGAAATATTTTTGTTTGTTTGTTTCAAAAGTGAGAATAGATATTATGTTGCAGTCTCTTAAACCCTATAACATCTTGAAATTGTAACTTTTCTTTTTTGTGACACAGCTATTACCTGTGGCCCCCCTCCACCAGTACTCTATGGGAAAGTGGAAGGATCTGATTATCGCTGGGGTGCCAGTGTGAGTTACAGCTGTGCAGAAGGCTATCAGCTATCTCACACAGCTATTCTCTCCTGTGAAGGTCGAGGAATTTGGCGGGGAGACATCCCACAATGTTTGCGTAAGTTTTCAGGGTACAGTTATGATGGGATTCACCAAAGCTACAATTAGTTGTCTGTGGTTACAATCAGTTGTCTTGGGATACAGTCAGTTTCTCACAGGTTAAAAAGGACTCAGCTAGATCAGGTAATATATGGACTACCACAGGATTCTCCCTTCTTCTTCCAAAAACCAATGAAATTGAGAAATTGAATGGTTGTATCAATTTAAGGTCATGGTCTTCTTCCTTTCCCCAAAAGTCGCCTCCATCTCCTATTACCTAATTGGACCCATCACCATTTGCCTTACTAATAACCTTTTGCATGTTCTGAATTCGACTTGTGATGAGCATGATTAAAATTTTCTCACAGAATCACGGAATGTCAGGGATTGGAAGGGACCTCGAAAGATCATCTAGACCAATCCCCCTGCTGGAGCAGGAACACATAAATGAGAATACACAGGAAGGTGTCCAGGAGGGTTTTGAATGTCTCCAGAGAAGGAGACTCCACATCCTCCCTGGGCAGCCTGGTCCAGTGCTCTGTCACCCTTACAGTAAAGAAGTTTCTTCTCAAGTTTAAGTGGAACCTCCTGTGTTCCAGCTTACAACCATTTCCCCTTGTCCTATCATTGGACATCACTGAGAAGAGCCTGGATCTTTCCTCCTGACATTCGCCCTTTACATATTTA